GGGGGGGGGGGGGGGGGGGGGGGGGGGGGGGGGGGGGGGGGGGGGGGGGGGGGGGGGGGGGGGGGGGGGGGGCGGGGAGGGGGGGGGGGGGGGGGGGGGGGGGGGGGGGGGGGGGGGGGGGGAATCAATGAAATTACTAATTTATGATGACAAACGAATAAATGATAGGCACACGTACCTATCTCTGTAATATTCTTCTTGGCCCCTTTCAGCCTCAACGTCATCGTCCCATTCTGCTAACTTTCTTGCCATTATTTCTCGATCTCGAATTTGTTTTTCTCTAATATCTAAATCTCGTTCTGCTTCACGTTCACGATTTGTTGCCATTGTCTCCTCTCTATGTTGCCACCTCCTTTCCCTCTAATATAAGATAATTATTAATATACTAAAAGACAAAATATATACACACAAGGATATGATACCTCTTTAAAAGCCATTTCCATTTCAGTTTTTCTTTTAGCTTGCCTGCGCTGTTCCTCCTCTTCATCATCAAAGACATAAGATTCACGTCTTGATTCCCTCGCAGGAATGAAATTTACAGATTGATGGAAGTGTCCATATTGCCGATCTCTATCACGATCCCTCTCTCTATTTTCTTTTCCATGAGAACGCTCTCTTTCTTTCTCAGCCTTGGCTCTACGACTCGCTCTTTCTTCTTCTTCTCTTTGACGCTCTCGTTCTCTTGCCGCAGCACGTTCTCGAAAGAAAGCAATTTCTCGGTAAATAAGATCTTTTTGATCCGGAGGAAGATCCGCCGGTAAATCTGTGTCATCATCTTTTTCTCCATGTTCCATTTTTAATTCTGAAGCTGGTGATCGAAGTGATACCCTATTTTCATGGTGCAAATGTAGTAAGAGAGATGACGAATCTTTTCTATCCTGTGGTTTTGTCATGTCTTCGACAACATTTATGACGGATAACAAAGCATTTTTGTCTAATTCTGTATCATGCTGAAAAAATAATTAATAACATATTAATTATGATTTAATAATAAATGATAAACGATTCGATTTATAGGAACGATCGAATACAAACCACTGTTCTCGGCCTTGAGGCTTCGTATTGATCAAGATACTTTCTTGTATTCTCATCAGCTTTAACCTATCGTTCATATGCGTATATATATATATAATTACAAATTTATTTTGATGAAGATACCGAATAAAGATTAAAAATTGATAAAATCAATTGCTTACTATTAATTTTTTGCCAGTGGCACCTTCTTCTAAAGCTGGAAGAACAACACCCTTGTCTTTCTTTTCATCACCAGTACCTTCGCCACCAAGCACACGTAAAGCACGTAGCACACTATCAGCATCCGCATATTCTGCAAATCCAAAACCCTTGGGATTTCCGGATTGGTCTTTAACCCGTTTCCAAGTTTTTAACGTACCACAAGTCTTTGTGTATTTGCCAGACAAGCAAATCGAGAAATAAAAATCAAAAAAAATAGTAGGTCAGCAAAAGTATTAATAAACCCACACCTGAAAATATCCACGCGCGCCCAATATGTGTATCAAAGAATTCAAGTCAAGACTAAAATAATTCAAATCGAAAACTAACTGGAAAGAAAATTTTTAGCATCCTGCCGAAATATAAGGTCAGATCATAATATAATGTCGTAAAGAAATTATACAAAAGCTTTTCTGAATCGCACCTACAAAATTTATCGCCTCCTTTCAAAGTTCCAAGTTCATAAAGAAATCCAATTTGATAAACAATAACATCTCCTTTTCTTATTATGCCTTCGATTTGGTAAAATCTTAGTCAACTTGTTGACAAGGATCGATATTTTATAGCATTCATTTACCCACCAAAACAAATTAAATAATTTATCACTACCTTGAGAATTTTTTCCATCCAATCATCAGTTACACCCGGTGATATTCCCCCAATGAAAAGAGTTGTCAACTTTTCTACTTCTGGACCTGGAGTCGACATTGGTGGTGCGCTGCCCATGGGCATACCATGGCCATGAGTAAAATTTTGTCTAGGGCCCATATAACCTGATCGCTGCGATGGACCTCCAGGAGCATAGCCACCTCGTGTAGTGTGTCCATAAGAAGGAGGACCTCCCGGTTGAACATAAGGTGGTCGTTCATAAGTTGGGGCACGATACGGAGCTACAGTAAGTAAATCTTCAAGTAAGTTATCATAAAGATTTCATATAATTAATATAACTAATAAAAAAGCATTTGTGAACTCAAAATCTTACCATAATGACCTGGGCGATAAGGATCCATAGTTATATTTTGTAAATAACTTTTCTTAAAAACTCAATAGCAGTATCAAGTCACTATAATTTACCAAAAGATCTATATAAACCCTGAACTAATAAATGTGTCAAGATCTGAATCTACTTGTTGGAAACGTTTATTTAGGATCCAAAGGCCAGGTAAATGAACCATGTACTACTAGGTACTATAGTGCGTTGTCGATCATTACTGTATAAGTGATATATGTTGCAAAATACAAATCATTAATGAAACGCAATTTCTTGGTCCTGAAAAAAACGGAAATTCACAAACGTCGTAGATGGCCATTGAAAACTAGAGAGTATATCCCATGGAAATATTTATATGAAGAAATGGTGGTATACTCTTCGAGTTGTATTCCATTCCATACCTCCTTCACAAGTTGATCAAAACTTTACAAAAAACAAAATACTTTATACGACTTTCATTACTTAGAAATGTTTAGCAAGTTTCAAAGTTTTCTTAGTTTCCTACACAGGAATGATATATTTAAATAGTTATAACATATCCATTCATTTCACTTTTATTTTTACATATGTATATTTAATCATACAATTAATTAATGCATTTAATTTATTCTTATTTATTTACATAATCAAAATTCTTTTAATGGCAGGGCAAAGATAGATTATTTAACGCTTGACCCTAGAAAATCATAAATAAATATCAGTTAGTTGCATTCTACATGAATCCTATAAGCAGAGAGAAAGAAAGAGAAACATTAAATGTACCATGTGTATCTCTTTCTTGCCTTCGCAAGACCGGGTTTCTTACGCTCGACCACGCGAGTATCACGCGTAACAAGTTTAGCTGAAAAGAGGGTGTATTATTGGTACGCGCAAAAGATGTCTCATAAAAAAAAAAAAAGGAAAATAAAGTTTCATCATACCTTCTCTTAGGATTGGTTTGAGATCAGAATTGTGTATGATCAACGCCTTAGTGATTCCATGAGCAATTGCACCTGCTTGACCTTTATGAAGAAAGTAAACCTAACTGATCATGAACGAATTCGGTGCATATCAAATTTTTAACAAAAGATTAAAAAAAAAATGTATTACCCGTTGGGCCACCTCCTTTGACTTTTGTCCAAACATTATATTTTCCAAGCAAGCCAGTCACTTGGAACGGATATAATATCGATTCACGATCTTTTAAGAGAGGAAAATAATCTGCTACTGAGATGCCATTAACAAGTACATGTCCATCCCCTTCTACCACCCAAACTTGAGCGGTTGCCTCCTTTCTCCTGCCTATCGCCAAAGCTCTTCCATAAGGATCAACAGTTTTCATCGCCTCTATATCCTTTTTCTCTTTTTCTGGATCATAACGTCTAAATAAATCTAAAAAGTTATGTAATTCGGGGGCAAATTCGAACATGATTTTGTCTAACCGATGTAACTTTCGTGTGATGAGTCGATATTGATTTGTTTTTAAACGTAAACCTAATTTTTCATCCAAATGTTGTTTCAAAATCCACAAAGTCGGTGGTGCATTTTTGTCAATTAATTTAGTGGGCGTCGTTCTATGTTTATGTAAAAGGTCATCAAGTTGTATAATAAAGTCATTATAAGTTGGTTTGGCTGTAAAGTATGAAATTGATGCTGGTCGTTCAACTTTTGAAAAATTATCAATTGATTCATGTTTGCTCAAGCGAATGTTTTGTTGCGTTTTGCCAGTAGAGAAACTTCGGAGAATTACGAAAGAAAATATGAGATTGGGGTTACTGCTATATGACTTGAAAGTTGTTATCCGTGAGCATTGACTCTTTAAATTATTTCCCAAAACCCTCCCTATATTATAAGCGAATCGTAATTTGGACATTATTGGGTAAAGTTTGGCGAACGAAAATCAAATGAAATTTTTTTAAGATTTTGTATCACAGATTTTGTGCAACTAATAATCCGCAAATCGGTGATTGAAAAAAAAAATTTTTTTTTTTTTTTTCTGAACAGAAAATTTCAACAAATAATTTGATGTCCGATAATACGAATATAATTGCTTCGAGCATAGCTGCAACAACTGCAAGATTAATAACACATCCTCGTACGTTTTTGTGATGAAATATTTTTGTTACGAAGAAATTCAAATTTTATTATTTTTTTTTTTAATTTAATCTTACCCTTTTCGCCCCAGTTGACACAATTCGCGTCCTTCTCCAAACCGATACAACATATACGCTTTCCCGTAAATCAAGTAGTCCATTTATTCAATTAATCCGAAAGACACCATTTAAAAGTTACTATAATGGACTTGCAATAGCAACGACTTTAGGAATACCTGCTTTATCATCATACCTTTTCGTCTATGATAAAGCAAAATATTATTTATCAAGCAGATTAAATGTTAGTGATACCAGTACTTTGAATTACATGTTGAGTGGGGCCATGGCAGAAACATGTAGTGGCATATTTTGGACACCGATGGAAGTGTTAAAAAGCAAATTACAATCTCGTAATGGGATTAATACATTACAAATGTCAAAGTTGATTTTAAAAAATGAAGGAATTAGAGGGTTCTTTCGTGGATATTTATTAACTCTAGCGGTTTACGTACCACACACAATGATTTACTTTGTTGTATATGAAAAGTGTAAAACCTGGTCCAAAGGTAGGGAAATATTAACTAGCAACCGTGATTATGTAATATTTTCGGCAATTGCATGCACGATTGCAGGTTCTGTTTCGAACGTGTTGGATATTGTAAAAACCAGGTGGCAAGTTTCTTATGGCAAGGAGGTTGACGGTGTCAATGCGAAATCTCCTTTAGAGATTATGAAAAATATGTATAGGAACGAAGGAGGATTACGTGCTTTTACTAAAGGCATGGGGGCTAGAGTGATATGGATAGTGCCAAGTGCCTCCATTAGCATGACATTATATGAGATTCTAAAGAATAAAAAGGGTTACATTGAAAATTATTAATTTGTGAAGATGTTTATTTTTGTATTTAAAGAATGTTTTTCTTCTTTTTCTGTAATTGATGGGTTTACGTGCAAAAAAATTCTCATTACGTTTAGGAAATGTAAACATTTTCAAATTATAATTATCTCGCGTTTTTTATTCGACTAAAGAATTCCCAAGTATTACACTAATGCAGATCTTAATTAAACGATCCTAATAAAGCAATTAAATAAATTAAACCGCTCATATGTGGCAAATTATGATTTATAAATGTAAAACAAATAAATTTCCTAGTTACGTTAAAAAGAGACCAGTCTCGTTATTTATTATGAATTTATACCTTTGACTATTACTTAATAAACTTTTTTGAATTCGAATGAGGCATTTTTAAATTTACAATGAACGAAAAAAAAAAAAAGAATACTGAAATACTGTATATTATAAGTATATTATTACAAATTTCATAATGTTTGAACTATTAAGATTTCACATTCTATAGAGTTCTTATCGTTATTAATATTAACCATTATTACATTAATATAATATTTAATTAAAGAAGCGACATTTTAAGTAGAATAAAAAACTTTCATAAAATTATAGGTGAATATAAATTTAACTGTTATCTTGACCGCCGTGAAACGGTGGGAGATTTTTTCCGTATCGAGTGGTCTCCATATTACTATTTTATAATAATGCAAAGTTCATCCATTAATATCAATCCTTTCATATAAATCAGTTGATATAACAGTTAATGTACTTACTTTTCGTCTTTTTTTGCTGGCATGCTATTGACCAAGGTCATAGAATAAAAAATTGTCAAGAAAAATACGATAACCAAGAGACTTTGAGATTTCATTTTCGAAGACGTTCAATTATTGAATTATTTGAAATTTTTGGAGTTTGAGATTTTTTGTTTTTTTTTGTTTTCTCTGATCATACAAAGAGGTATGTTTTATATATCTTCAACAAAATTTTTTTTCGAGGGTATTAATGAATTTTTTATCGGGAAATGGTCTAAATTGATTCTTCCCGTTTTTTATTGTTGTTCATTATAGGGATTTATCCGCCATTTATCAAAATCCTTTTTCATATAAACAAAAAAAAAAGATACTTTTGAAATCTATTATTAATGCATTAATGCATCATCAAAATACATTTCGTGCAGCAATGTATATATATCAAGGGGTTTGTTTTTCTAAATTCAAAGAAATTTAAAAAGTACCGTCTCACCTTTAATCGAGTTCCTGAGCTTATTTCATCCTACTCCTTTAAAAAAAAAAAAAAAAGATCACGAGTTAAAAACGATGCAATTAATACATTATTATTTTTATGGTTTTCCCTTAAAAGTAATTACGGGTTAAATGGACTACAATTGAGGTTATTAATTAATTCCGATTTCCTCCTTAGGTTAACATTAGAACAATTGAATTAATCTTCTGGTCACAAAATATAATTTGGTACAACGTTCCTTCAATATCCTAACCCTGAATTCCCTAATCCCATCGGAACTGACCGAAAACTTCTAAAAGATCGTATTTTCAATTTAATTGGTGTTCCAAATTTGTACCTTTATAAGAAAGAATTATAATTTTTTCAATGAAAAAAAGTGATTCTTTAAAACAATTGTCTTAATTTCGTCATGAATACTGCTCAACAAACTAACGGAAAAGTCGCCATCGTTACCGGTAAATAAAAATGTGATATCCCCTAATCTTTATTTACACGTCAATAACATTAACAAAATAATTATTAAATTTAGGTGCATCATCCGGAATTGGTCGTGGTAAATATGATATTTATGATGAAATGAACTTTTTTATTTATATGTTTCGTTACATTAATAATATATCTGAAAATTATTTAGCAATTGCGATTCGACTAGTAAAAGAAGGGTGAATACTTAATATTATCATAGATTTTCCTTATATAAATAAATTCATGAAATTTCCATTTTAGGGCCAAAGTCGTTATTGCTGATGTTAGCGAAGATGCTGGCAAGATGCTTGCAAATGAACTTAACACCAAGTAAAAAAAAATTTTCTTCTTAAATAAATTTGATAAAATCATTTAAAAATCATTTATTTTCATATACGTAATAAAATAGTAAATCGGAAAAGATTGCAATATTTCATAAAACTGATGTAAGTAAATGGAAGGAATTGATCTCTATACATTATTTGTAATTGAGTTCATTATTTGAATTCTTTAATTAATTATTTGTATCCTGTCTTTTAAATCTTTATACTATAACTATTTTTAAAATAGAATATAGTTATGCATTATAAACCTTCTGAAATTGAAACTTCAAGAAGACTAGTTGATGTATTATATCTTTTAATTAATATTTGTTAAATAATTATGAATGAATTATTTTGAGCATGAATTTTACAGCTTACAATTAATGTAACCTTATTAATAAAGCATTTGATAAAATGCAATCAGAATAAAGTTAAACTATTTAATATTGCTTTATCATTTGGATATTTTATCAAATTTTAGAAATTAAATACAAATTAATTTTTAGCTAAAGATATAATAATGTGTTTTAAAAATCGTTAGAAGAATTAAAAATAACTATTATTATTACTTTTGTTAGTTTTCCATTCTAAATATTGACTTAAAAAATTTAACTCTGATTTAGAATTAATTAATTTTATAATAATAGAAACTTGGATTAATTATTATTATAAAGCATAGATAAATAATAAACTAACAAAGTTACTTGCTGAATTTGAGTCTTATTAGATAAAGAAACTGCCTATTAATAATAATATATTTGAATAATTTGGTGAGAATATTTTAGCATATTGGTATTATTATTCTATAATATGTAAAGAATTAAAACTTGTTGTTACAAAAATTTTTAGCATTTGTATAAATTCTACTTTAGTAAAATAATTATTTTCATCAATAGGATTTTTGCATATACTTTGAAGAAAAAGATTAAAGATTATATTATATTTATTTTTATAAATATAAAATATATTTATTAACTATTATTAATTTATTTAGTATGAAAAAATTATAGTTATAGCTCAACATCATGCTAATATTAATCAAACTAAAAATGAAAAGAAACAAAAATGCAATTCTAAAAAATCACAAATTAATATAATATTACTAATTATAAAATTAATAATCAATAAATTAAAGATATAATTAATACAACTGGTTATATAATTATAGAGCAAGATTGGATAAAAGATTAAAAGAATAGTATGAATTATTAAATAATGAAGAAGAAACACAATCTTTGATTAATGATGATATATTATTAGATAATAATGAATCTAATAATAATTTATTAAGCTTATATATCTATCCTATTATTAATATTAATATAAAATAGAATTTATATAATCTTTTTATTAACAAATTAGAAAAATCAAAATTTATATTTATATTACCTGAATTTAATTGGTTATATTATATTTTCTATTTGTATATATAATAATAATCAATAAATATAAATAAAATCATTATTTTAATGCAACTTTTTTTTATTAATAAAAATTTAATTATATATTATAATAAAATTGTTCAAAACCTGTCCAATTAAAATAAGTTTTAGTTTTAAACATGTTTTAAACAGAGTTTTGAATATACAGGAGGGTATAAACAGTATTGAGCATATGATATTATCTAGGTATAACACGTATTATTATACATTCACTAAATCAAGTCATATTTTTTTTTATTTTTAGTTAATTATGATTGTTATGTAATAGTCAAAATAAATAAAGTGTCATTGTTGAGATAAAAGTGGGTCACGTATGTTATATAAAAAAAAATTTTATTTTATAGTTAAAAAATTTTGTCACCACAAAAGTGTCTTGAAAAAAACTTAGTAAAAGTTAAAAAGAAAGTATCATTGCAGCAAAAAAGTTGAACAATATAGATAGCAGAATTTCTGCAATCGTTAATTATTCTATTTCTTCTGTACAGCATGTGTGAAGATCATATAGGCTAAAAGAAACTTCAAAAAAATGAACAGGTTAACCATAAATTCCTGATGAATTTGAATGTGAAGAACTCAAGCGTTTAGTAGTTAGTAATAAAAAAACCTACTGTCAAACCCTTTTTTAAATACAGTTAAATATTATAAATAAAATAAATAAAACCATTTCTACACAAATCATCCATAAAGAATTAGCTGAATAAGGTCTTCGCTCATGCATTTCTCGTTTCAGTCTATTAATTTCTAAAAGGAATAAAGAAAAACAGTTATTTTGGGCTTGTATTTATGAAAATTAGAAAGTAGAGAATTTTAAAAAAGTAGTTTAGTCAGATAAGTCTACTTACACACAATTCAGAATCTCAGATTTTAGACAGGTATAGCGTGAACCTTCTGAAGAGTTCCATAAAGATTGCATTGCAGTTACAGTTTAAAAAAGCTTTGGTTGTATATTTTAAAGATGTTTCTCCTGGGTCATTATGGATCCTTTGGTCTCTTTAGTTGATTATGTAACTGGAAATATATATTGTAAAGTTCTAAAAAATTACGCAGTTCCTACGGTTAAGTCTTATGTAAAAAAATCAAAAAAAATTATTTCAAAAGGATAACGCACCTATTCATACTGTAAGAGTCGCTCGTTCTTTTCTCAAATCCTTAAACATTGAGTTGCTTTTCTGGTTGGCTCAAAGTCTTGATATTAATCCAATAGAAATATTTAATTACATATCAAGGTTAAGATTTGTAAACTTGATTCACAACTATCAAGTGTTGCATAATTGGAGTAGTAGATTAAGGAAGAATAGAATGCAGTACCTGTAAATTATTATTGTAATTTAATTAAGTCTATGTTGCATCAGATTCAAGCTGTTCTTACAGCAAATGGAGATCTAACAAAATATTGATCTGTAATTTGATAAAATAAAAAAAAAATAAAGTTTATATGTTAGTTATTTTGTAATATCATTTTTAAGAGATGCTTAATACTTTTTATATTTCCTTATATATCTAAAATATTAAATTGTTCAATTATCCAACACTGACTATGCTGATTTCAAATAAATAAAATAGTAGAAAAATTTAATCTTACTATAAAAGAACACTTAGTTAAATTAGTATACAATCAAGAAAATGAATAGGATACTTATGTTTTATCAGTATTATTTGTCTATTGAACGTCAAAATATAAAAGATAGGATATATTCTATTTATCTTATATATGAATGATAAGCAATTTTAACAATAAATTTGCAATTAAATTTTTTTGAAACTAATAAATAAAATATTGATAATACATTAATAAATAAATTAACAAATTATAATAAGATAAACAGAATGCAATTGATAACATAAATTAAATATAAAGATAGTAAAAGAATTGATATAATGATTATTGAGTATTAGAAAGATTAAAAATTAGAGAAAAGTTCTAGTAGAGAAAATAAAAAATGACAAGATATATTAGTCTAATTAGAAGCTCAATAGATTAGTCTATTTAATATTCATGATATAATTAATTTCAATAATTATAAATTAAGATCATTAAAAAATAAATAGTTAAAGAAATTGTACATAATAATCAATTGAAGAAATATAATGAATAGGAAATAAAATCAATGATAATTATTATATAAATTAAATATCTATTTTAGTAAACTTTTAATAATTAGTAATTATAATATAAATAATTCTAATTTTCACTAAAAATAATAATGAAAAAAATGTTATAGGAATATTAGCAGATATATTTTGATTTATTAAAATTTAATGTTATATTATCACCTTTGCTTAATATTTTCTCTTAAGATATAAATATAATAATGAAAAAATTGTTTTAACATATATGATGTCAACAGAGCAATTAATCAGTCATAATGAAGTCACGTGGATGACGCAATATAATGATCTTTTAATTCAGAATTCTGAAAATACTGAGAATTCTGTGAATTCTGAAAATACGGAGGATCTACGTAATTCTGAAGATCTTTCAAATACTGATAATAATCATAATTTTACAAATTAAATGAAGTCTAAGAATATTTAGTATTATAATTATTTTTAATATTCTAAATTTTATTATTTTTATTTATATTTTATATTTTGCGTATTTTTATTATTCTCAATATATTTATTTTACTAAATTT